TATTTGTTTTTTATATTACAAATTATTTTTCTTCATTTTCCTTTTACTTTTTTCTATTACTAAATCAAAATTTTTATCTTAATTTCCATCAAAATAAAAGTGGGGTAAATTTTTGTCTTAATGTCTAATTTATTTGGGATATTTCTCAAAACTGGTTTCTTTCCTAACTTTGTCATACAACCTTAATGCTCGAGATAGACGATCGCTTCTTGATGATCTTCTTGTTGCGTCCATCAGTTTCTCCAACTCCCTCCTCTGAACTTTCAGGCCTCTTTTGATGGTCTCTCTTCCACCATCTCCTTCAAACGGATCGGATCGTAGTGATTCTTCCACTACTGTAGCCATGACGGTGATTGTGTTGCTTTGAACTGAAGGTTGATGAATTATATTTTGGGGTTTTTGGAAATATGTTCATATGCAAATCATGCTAATTTTTGGATTTCTTGTATTATTTTTTTTTTGTAGATTTTCCTATAATTCATTATTTTTTTGTTATTTTAAGGACTTTACCAAGTTATTAATTTGGATTAATTTATTTTCTTTAGAATGGCATGTTCTAGGATTTATTCATGCTAATTCTTGGATTAATTAAGAGAAAAGAAATTCAAACTTTATTTTTTAAATAAAGTATCATGCATCAACTAATGAATCAAATATTAAAGTGGTTTTAATGTATCAATTTGATTATTAATGCTTGTAAACAACTTGAATTCAAGCTTGTACCTAATCCAAAACAAAAATAAATTTAAAATAAATTTTTATGTATGTTATTAATAAAATTTAAAATCATATTTAGAACAAATAAAGAATTTTAGTAAATATTACATCAATTACAAGTAATTTACATAAACAAAAATAATAATATATAAACTTAAAATTTAATATTAAAAATTATTATTTATAATTATATTCAGATAGTAAAAAACTTATAACTACTACTTGAACTTGTGACGTGTAGTAATTTTTCTACTCAAATCTTACTAAAAATATAACTATGAAAAATCTTAATTCTATTTAATTAAATTGGATGGTGTAAGAAATCTAACTAACACGTAAAGAATAAAATTAAAAATATATATATATATATATATATGATCTTGAGTATTGAATGTTTCATATATTAGCAATTTATATTCAAATATAAAATCAAAATCAAAGAGTAATTAACACTAATCTCTATTACATTCTTCAATATAGAATAATGACTGTACCTAAAGCTCATACCCTTGGTCTTTGGCTGACAAGCTGGTGCTTGTTGTTGTTCATAGTGATATTAAGTATTGATTTTTAATCGAATTTTGATCAAATAGTAATTAAATATCAAATACTTGAGTATCAAATATTGATTTTTAATCAAATTTTAATAAAAATAGTAATAATTAAATTTTAATCGAGAACTTGGATTCATATGCTTCAAAATTAATGTCACCCCTTTATTCTTGGAAAAAGTCGTCTAAATATTTATTCAAACAAGGGAAAAAAGAAATAAAAGATTCTTCTTTTAGTTTAAGAAGAATAAGAAGAAAACATAGAGATTTTAAGGACCCAAAATATGTAGAGGAATATGCCATTACGGCTACCACTAGCCCACTATTTTATAACCTTCCTTAAGTTACAATTATACCAGTCTTTCTCCACACAATTACAAGCCTAACCACAGTAATAATCATTGCAATTTTTTGAAAGTAATAATTCAAATTAGTACTAATAGAATTTGATGATTTTGAATAAACACAAAAGAGAAATAATTGAACCTATAATTGGGATTTTTGAACCCTACATTAACAAAATTACAATTATTATTGGATAATAATTAATAATACAACTGGTTTGTCTTTTTTTTTGTTATTTTTAACAATGTTTTAAAATAAAGTCTGATTTTTATATTATAAATTTATTTTTCATGATTTTTTTCATAGTACAAAATCAAAATTTTTGCTTTAATTTCTGGAAAAATAAAAAAAGGATAAATTTTTGTCTTAATATCTAATTTTTTTGGGATATATAAAAATGAATTATGTTTGTCATATTATAAATTTATTTGTAATGATTTTTTTTATATTTTCATAATAAATTATATAACACATTTATATTATAAAAAAAGTTGTTCAACATGTAATATAAAATAAAAAAATAATTTCCGTAAAAATAAAAGAGATAAAGATTTAAAAACAAAAAGAGTAATTAATAAGATTACTGTGTTATAGTTATCCAATTTCATTCTTCTAAGTTTTCACAGACAAAAAAATGAAAAGCATAATATGTTTCTCTCAATTTGTTGGAGGTGCCGTCAGGGTGGCCCAATGAAGGGCAAGGCTGCGCCAGCCATACCCGGCCAGGGGAAGAAAAAACTATTGAAGGTTGACGAAGTGTCGTTTTCGTAATTAACAGCAAACCTCATGGTCAATTCGGTATGGTATGTACAAATCACGCGAGGGTTTTCCCCTCTCATTTTCTTTACCCAATGAAAGCGGAAATGCCAGTTTTCTAAGACAGCATTTGGCAGCGAGAGATTGGGAAGAAAGAGAGCAGAGAAGAGAAGAGAAGAGAAGGGAATCCGAGAAAATTTTCTCTTCGCTCCGTTTTCTCTCGCTTCCATTTCTCATATTTTCTCCCTTCTTCCCGTCGGCGATGGCTTCGATTTCCGATTCTTCCAAACAGTCCCTACTCCCGAGCTTCCTGTACTCTTCTGCTCCCAAGTCATTCTCTCTCGATCGACTTCTCGGCGCCAACAATCATGCCTTCGGTACTTCGCACTCCGCTATGCTCGATACTCCCGCGGTATCATCCTCTCCGTCGATCAAGACGAGGACGTTCATGATCGCCTCGCCGAATGAGCCTGGCAAGAAGATCGAGATGTACTCGCCACAGTTCTACGCTGCTTGTACCTTCGGCGGTATCCTTAGCTGTGGTCTCACTCACATGGCTGTTACTCCTCTTGACCTCGTCAAGTGTAATATGCAGGTTTACAGATCTGGCTCTCTTTTTGTACCTTCTCTCTAAGTTGTTTACTAATCTTTGAGGTTAGATCTGAGCTTAGCTTGTTGCGCGTTTGAGAATTTTTGTTAACGAATTATTGCTTATTAGATCTGTGCTTAGTATTTTACTGCTTCAGTTCCAGAAATATATCACTCTGTTGCTGTTATTGAAGAATTTAGACGCGTTTCTTTTCGATTTTGATGCCTTAGTGTTTGATTTTTTGGCTTTTTAGAGTTTCATTGCTAGAAGTACGCAACTCTGTATGAGTATCACTTTGATTGCACTCGATATTTGATTTTTCTGTCAAAATCTCTCGCTCTTGATTTTGTACAATAGGTACTTTTACTTGATTTTTATTTTGTGCATTATGTTATTTATTGAATATAGCTTGTAATTGTATTTGTTTTATTGTTTGTAGAAGGATTTCCTAAATTGAAGGTGATAAGTTTTGTTATATGAATTCTTGTTTTATTTGTTTCAGTTAATCTATGTTCAGTTTTCATTGTAATAGTTTGTATATTATGCACCTGACAATTACACATTATAGATATAGTTATTTTACAATAGAACAGTAGATTATGCTTTATGGGATTGTTTTTATGTTACCAATCTGGTATGGTGGAGGATCTAAATTGACATCTGGATTGTTGTTTTGCCAGATTGACCCTGCAAAGTACAAAAGTATTTCATCTGGTTTCGGAGTTCTGCTGAAGGAGCAAGGAGTCAGAGGCTTCTTCCGTGGCTGGGTTCCTACCCTTCTGGGTTACAGTGCACAGGGTGCCTGCAAGTTTGGATTCTACGAGTTTTTCAAGAAGTACTACTCTGACCTTGCTGGACCTGAATATTTTTCAAAGTACAAGACCTTGATCTATCTTGCTGGCTCTGCATCTGCTGAGGTGATTGCTGATGTTGCACTGTGCCCCTTTGAGGCAGTCAAGGTCAGGGTTCAAACCCAGCCTGGTTTTGCTAGGGGTTTGGCAGATGGTCTTCCCAAGTTTGTTAAATCTGAAGGTGCTCTTGGGTATGTTTCTCAGCGTTGTTTAATTTTCTGTTTTAAGTAATACAGGGAATTGTTTGTCAGAATGAGCTTTCTAATAATTTCCCCTTTGCAGATTGTACAAGGGTATTGTTCCTCTTTGGGGCCGTCAGATTCCATGTAAGTTTGGTGGATACATGTGCTAATTACAGGCTTTATTATCATTACTTATTTTTTAGGTTCTAGTACTGTCTGCTTGTGCTTCCTTTTTTTTTGTTTCTCGCTATTTCTTTACTCCACTTTTTTCATGGTAGTTCTAGCATTTGCTAATTATATCGAAGTGAAGGATTATTTTGACATTCGTCCTTTCTTTCAGATACCATGATGAAGTTTGCTTCATTTGAGACCATTGTTGAGATGATCTACAAGTATGGTATCCCCACTCCAAAGGACCAGTGCAGCAAATCTCTGCAACTTGGTGTTAGTTTTGCTGGTGGTTACGTTGCTGGTGTGTTCTGTGCTATTGTTTCTCATCCTGCTGACAACCTCGTCTCTTTCCTCAACAATGCCAAAGGAGCAACTGTTGGTGATGTAAGTTCTGTACCCTGGATAATCCTTTTGATCTTCAATTGCTGTTAATGAATCATTTTTACTTTGCCATGACCCTAATGTCTTTTGGCTATCTAGGCTGTGAAGAAGCTTGGTTTATGGGGTCTGTTTACCCGTGGGCTTCCCCTTCGTATTGTCATGGTTGGAACGCTAACTGGAGCTCAGTGGGGTATCTATGATGCATTCAAAGTGTTTGTGGGACTGTAAGTTCTTCCCACCATTGCTATAAAGCATCAGTCTCTGTAAATACGGATTTTCATATGATTATAGTTTATGCTGATGGGATTTTGTGCAATCTTTCAGGCCAACCACTGGTGGTGTTGCTCCTGCTGCTGAGGTTGTAAAGGCATAGAACTTCGGCAAAATCAACTGAAATAGTTTCGTTGTTCTAATAGGCCTTTCAAAACCATTTCATAGGGATAAAATAAACATAGGATTGCTTGAATGACTGTCGAGCTGGTGGAAAAAATTCTTTTTGCTTTCAGAACTTTCTATCAACTCTTTTTTGTGTTGACTACTGTTGGTTATCGTCAGAGGATGATTTTGGTCTCATCCTCTAAAAACTCCAGAGACCATTTTTTGTAGTTAGAATCATCATATGTGAAAGTTTCATTTGAAGATCAAAATCCCCCCACTGTAGCAGCATTAAAATAATGAGCAGATGGGGGGTATACAACTGAGTTTCTGTCTTTAAACTTTTTAAGCAACCATTTGATTTATGCGGAGAGAATTTATTTTGCTGTATCAAGGCATGCAATTTATGCTTTTTAATTTCCCTTATATGGCATTGCTGTAGTCATAGTTATCTTTTCGATTCCTTTGGAATTTCTGATATGGGTCTTATATCTCATAGTAAATTTCATTTATATTTATGATTTTAATTTATGTTTCACCTAATGTTTTGGTGGTCTTTTTAATTAACATTTCGTAGATATTTTTTTTCAGTTGGTGATTTGTGAATGTTTTTACAAATGATTAGATTGTTAATTTTATTTACTAGAATTCAAAAAAAAATTTTAAGTGTGAATAGGCAAAATAATTTTATTGTTCTCAATCATATTTTTATATTTTTATTCTGAGTCATAGATCATTTTATAATTTTATTAGTTAAAATATTTTATGTTAATATGACATGTTCATGTGAAAACTAAAAATTGTGAAATACAATGTAATTATATAACATTAATGTATCATGTTATTATCATATTATATGTTAAAATATAAAAAATTAATTGAATACAATATAAAATAGATGTAAATATTTTTAAATACTTCAAGAAGGTTATTAGATATTATTTCTTTCATTTCCGACCAACTGCTCATGCTGCATGCACCAAAGGTAAAGCAAATTCAGAGAAACAAGAAGATGCATTTTATGATATATATAAAAAGCAATCACGATACAATATATCACTGCTCGTTAAAATATAAACCACGGATCAAAGCCTCATAAATTTAGAACACAATAGTTTCAGACAGCTTCCCCCACAAGGTTCATCCGCCATATCCCACAAAACCCTCAAATGGAGCTTCCCTAAGCAGAGGATGGCATAAATAACAAAAAGAATCGAGCTGTTAAAACCTAATATACAGCATCTCCGACACTCGTCCTTATTATTATTGTTGTCCTGATGAATGTGCTTGGAATCAAGAACAGACAAAAGCTACTTGAGACTTTGGCGTACATCAAGCAATGTTGATTGTAAAGGAGACGTAGGGATGGGCGTCGGCATCACCTCCTAAACCAGCCATTGCTCCACTTTCATCGTCAGTCTTCCAGTATGTGCTGCATTTTAAGGAAGGTCAGTATTGGTTTGAAATTCGGGAAAGCAGGAAATAACATTGTAAGACAATCAAGGCAACTTTTTTTCAAGATGGACAAGGTAAAGTTCACAGTTACACAACAGATACGATAAATACGGTATGTTCAAGATTTACATAGCCATTGTTACCAGACGTTAGACATGTACATACCAACTCATTTCAACACAATTTCCAGTTAATCATATTCAGAACATTTCCACAATGCAGACTAATTGCAACAAGATGGGGAATTTGAAACACAATTTTTTCAATTTGTTTGTGCATCCATATCGGGCAGATTTGCACAATGTAGCCATGAAAATTGGTACCATTTTCACTAAGGTTTCATCAATCACACACAACAAAAATGAAGCCTGTTGGACTTACCTGTTTGTACTATCACATAATCCTTCAAGGATGAACCGCACTTTCTTCTCTCCCTTCACAGATGGAGCTAAAACACATGCCTGGAATCAGATCAAACCAGTACTCAGTCTTCACGCAAGTGTTGGTTCACAACCGATTATGGAAATCAAAGAGTTAATGTTACCAGGAAAGATGGCGGCAAACCATATCTCAGAATGCTCTCTGAAAAGACACGTACAGCACAAAAGTGCATCCAGGAGCTGAAAACCTACAGCCAAACAACTCATTCGTAAAACAGTTCAAAATGAGTGATATTTGAGGAATGTTGCAGGAAAAGAATAAAGAATCGCAAAATACCTCTCCATAACTAGCATAGCACCATTGCAAAAGAGAGCTTCGCAAGCTATCTTGGTCTTGTATCAATTTTTCTAGTTCCTGCTTTCGACTCTCTTGTGCTTCTGGACTATATTCAAAATCACGAATCTGATTGGCATCAACAGATATACAGCAACATGGGAATAAGACATCCTCCAACCAAGTTAAAAATTTTTAAGGATAACACTCTCCGTGCATAAGAATGCCAAAAGAATGGCACTCAAATAGAAAATGAAAATGAGATTGTACAATGCACTCACTTGGAAGCCTCTTTCGCGTGCACTTGTTCTGAAATTGTCTGCAACACGACCAAATAATGTGACAGTGTAAAGAGCATATTCATTATCTTCATACAATTTTTTGGAGGACCTAGGGACCTGAAAACAATTAGCTGTGTCACTCAGAATGACCTCAACAAACAACAATAAAGTTTAATAACTATGAAATAAATAAACAAGTCTGCTGCTACAAAAAGTAAATGCTAAGAGAAATGGCTCTAAACAATAAGGTAAACCTAACACACACAAATTTTTGTCATTAATAAAGCTATGAAGTTTATCCCAAAAATGAACTCTATTTCTCAAATCCCCAATAATAAACTGGCACAATGAGTCAGCATCACAAGATTCAGCTATTCCAGAGACTTCAAAAATATCACAAGAAGAATAACTTCTCTGTCAGGTGGCATTCTATAGCAGAAGCAGCAATTAATAGACAGCTGGAGTTAACCTTTAAACCAAGAATGATATTGCTTACCACATAGCTAGTCAATGTTTCATAGCTTGACAGCCAATCCTTCTGTGCATACTTGGGAACAATTGCAAGGAGAGTCACTAGGTGTTCCGAAGTAATGATATCTTCTGGCTTCACTAGATTAGAAACATCACGAACAGCCAAGCTAAAATAGGCAGAATTTGATCAGCTATTAAAACAAAATATTCTTGCATACGCAACAATCAGACTAAAGCAATACTCATACCTTCCACTTTGCTTTCTATTTATGGCATTAAGCTGCCCGCGCACATTGTTATACTCAGCGACACGAACCTAACATAATACACAACACGTTAAGACCTAAACTTTCCATTCAACCTACAAATGTCATAAAGCAAAGTGTATAAAGGTGTATAAATCAGAAAATACAATGGAGAAATTGTTACCTTGAGATCATCCTCTATCTTTGCCACTTGAGTGTGAATACCATCAACAATTTCCCTCAAAGGCGACATTGTCGGGAACTTCGCTTCATCCCAAACAAACCTTCCATCACAACACCAAAAAACCAACTCGTATAAAAAACACACCATCCATACTACCCAATCAGATCCATTACTAATTCCACATTCACTCACTGGAGTAATCAAAATTTTACCTGGTTAGATAAGAATCAATGGGCACTCCATCGACAGTGAGAGCATTGCTCTCCATTCCGGATACCCTCTCCAGTTCCTCGATCTGCCTCCTGATCTTGTGAGAAACTCCTTCAATGAAGCTATTTGACTGGATATTCATCAAAATCACCAAAAAATCAAATTCAATTCCATAAAATTCCCTTAATTTCATTTGTTTTGTCTTAAACTAATCAAAAGACATAAGCTAATAGTGAATAAATCAAAGTAAGAATACAAAGTTGATAAATTTTTAATTTCAATGCTTCAGTGTAAACATCCGAAATTAGCAGATCTAAGAATCAGTAGAATTTGACGAACAAAAAGCAAAAAGAAAGGAAATTGAAACTGAACCATCGTTACAGTAAAAAGAGGATATTACCTTCAAGAGATCATCGCTGAGAGCAAGGAGAGAGTCGAGAGTCCCAACACGGAGATTGGGTATATTGAACTGTAAAATTAAATTCAATTAGAAAAAAGGAAAAAAAAAAGAAGAGAAAAATCAGATCTAATTGGGAAAAAAGAAAGAAAGAGAGAATACTCTGTAAAGAGGAGTGTCGAAGGAATGTTTGGAGATTTGATCTTGTAAACTATTCCAGAGAGTCGAGGCTGAGTTCTGAACCGGAAGAGACACCACCCAGTATCTGCTCGCCATGGACAACCAAGAAAAACACAGAGAAACAGAGAGAGAGAAGACGGTCACAGCTCGGGTGTCGTGGCTATGGCTATTAGTGGCAAAGGAAGGATCATCAAAAACAGGTACAACATTTAAGGAATTTTACTTTATATTTTTTAAAATTTAATTTTTGCTGTTCTTTAATTTTACTGTAAAGAAGAAGTATTTTCTTTTTGGAGCTTATATTCCTTATAAAATAAAAACAATAAATTAACTTATTAATTCTTCAAACATTTACACATAAAATCGTAGGATTAATTATATATATATATTTTATATATATGCCAGGTAATTTTGAGGTTTTAAGTACTAAAAATGTTTCTAAATTCAAACAAGTCATTATTATTTAATTTGTATTCATACAAACTCTTAATTTTATCAAAAAATTAATTATCATTAGATTCAACATGAATTGATTTTTTTTGTCTCACTTGATAATCGGTGATTTAAAATGTATTACGTTGTTATGTCATATGTCACATGAATAAAAAATATTAATTAATATTAAAATTGATGATTTTTTTATTAAAATTAAAGATTCATGTAAGTATAAATTAAAATATAAGAAGTAGTTGGAGTATAATAAAGGAATATAAATTTAATTGTTAATAGATTTTTTATTATTTAAGTCTAAATTTGATAACTAACCATTTCCATATCTAGATATTGGAAATAAGATAACAATTTGAATTTTTTACTATTTTATTGGAAATTGTTCAAATCCATAATGCTTATATATTTTTTTATTTTGTGTAAGAATTCATTATTTTTTTAAAGAAAAAATCTATAAGATTAAATTTGTTGCAAAGAATGTAGAGAACTAGTAAGTACTGTTCTCAGTAATATTTGGCAGCATGGAACTGGCTGACGTCAAAAAAAAAAAATACAGATAGCAACGCACTTTGTACTATTATTTTTATTTTTCTTTCCAGGAAAAGTTGTAATAAGTGGTAGCAATTTATTTTATGGAAATGTATTTTTTTTCTCTTTATTTTCTCTAGGTTGTCCTTTTACCTTGAGGAAAAATCGATTTTTTTTTACTAGATATAATAATTTAAAAAAAAATTAAATTATTTAATTATTTAATTTTTTATTATATTCAATTCAATTTTTATATTTTTATTTTAAATTATATAATGTTTACTTATCATTTTTATACTTATGTGAGGTTGATTTGATCACATGGTATTATCATCATGGAATCAAATCAAAGCCTTACATTTTATGACTGCAAGTCAACAAAATGAGGTCAGTTTAAAACTCTTTCCTCTTTTATCATCTTCATAAAAAAATCAATACATTTGTTCAATTACACACCAATTTTGTCATCACACACATGCAAAGATGTTTCTACTAAGTATAATCCCAATCTCCATATATATTGATTCAAAGGCTTAGGATTCAACTGAGACATATATATATATATATATATATATCCCTTGATTTAATTGAGAATGTAAATGAGATACTACACAAATATATGAACTGAGATATCCCTTGATTAGTAGATTTAGTCATGTCCATATCGAAAGAAACACAGGATGATAGCAACAAGTTCTTTCACTTGTTTACTTTTATTCTTTTTTTTCCATCGGGCTAAATATGCTGAGATTTGATGCAAAAGTACAACATTTCAAAGACCAAATTGAAGTTGCCCCCACATTCTTTCAGATTTCATGAGATGAAGCTGTGCCAGCTTGGTTTAACAAAATATAACACCAGTGATGTAATTTAAACTTGATAAAACTCGTCAAGGGACAAGTTTTCAACCGAGCCAAAGCTTTCGAGAGATCCGATCCTTGAATAGTTGGTCATTGATCCACCCAGAAAATCAAGTGGAGAGTCATTTGAGAAGGTCGTGTCATAGATAAATGACATGCCAGCATCGTCCATCGTAGGATAATAATAGGAGCTGGATTTACTAACCTCATAATCATGGAGGAATAGGTCATTCACCGCATTTCTAGCTATGTCAGTATATACATCTTGATCAGAGGCCTTCTTAGCCTGGATTACCTGAAAATCTTTCGGCAATGAGAAGACTAGTAATAGCAATTAACTGAACATCAGTTAAAGCTAACTCTAAAAAGCTAAAATTCATATTGGCAGATCATACATAATTTTGATTTTGACTATCCTGATACACCATGATGAAATCACCAAGCTGTAATCCATGTGTGTTAACAAATTCCCCTGTGAAATTTAATGCAGCAACGATCAATCAATCATGGTTTGACAATGAAAACGTTTTCAAGCGTAGAACAGAAAACTTATGAGGGGACGGTACGCGTTTACCTGTATTTTCAAGTACATACATACGGCTGTTGTTATTAGGCCAAAACCTGCTTACAAAGAAGGAAACAAAAAGTTTGTCATGCTTTTAAGCACAAAAATAGATATCATTCTTCTGCCTGATGTTCATCCAACCAAAATTCCATCCACATGAAGCAAGCCCTATCAGACTAGCTAATTCTTGGTGATCAAGTTTCCTTTAAGTTTTCTTACCACAGAAGATCAATGCTCAAAAACCAGTAGAGAACTTACCTATACTTGAAGCTCCACACATGCAGGCCATCTAAGTCATCCATGCTGATAAGAATCCCTTCTTTGGACTCAAGGACAGGCAAGTGAGCCTCCGCTGCTCTCTGAAACGAAAAGTGTTTAATTCAAAATTTTCCACGATAGCGAATTGCGTCAAATGAATGGTTCGGATAAATTACACAGGCTGGCAATGTTTTAAGCACCATAGGACTTCAAGAATGGAAAATAAACAAATCTGAAAGTGGGAGAAGAATGAATTGAAACCTTTGGGAGTATCATTCTTCGGAGGGAGCTTACGTCGCTGTTCTTAAGTTCCTTCTGGAAAAGGAATCTCAATTTCTTTGGATCAATAACCTAAAGCATATGATGGTTATGAGGTCATCAGAATGATCACCAAATAGAATAAAGAACCATTGAGATAGCTGAATCCAAAATCCACTATATCTATGAGACAATGATATGCAACAAGACAGAATGGCAACATTGCAACTTCAAACAACAAACATGAAACGGCAACTACATCTGTCAGAATACAAGAAAATGTACAAAACATGCTATGCCCCGGGGCAAGCTGGGAATGGGGTAGCCTCTTCAGTCTTGACACATTTGATCAAATTATTAGGCAAATGAAAAAAATATAGTTTCTTACTAGACTAAATTTCAGGTGGGATCAGAGAATTGGAGAAACTAATTCCGGGCTCCATTGATTTTTGAGATACTTACAAATAATTCATAGAAGAAAAAGAATCTAAATAATGATTGCAAATCAAGGTAAATTTTAAAGAATGTCTATAAGCACATTATGCACTTGTTCAAGTATAATTAATGTACCGTCTATTCTTAAATTTACTAAAAATAATATGTTAACCGAAAAAACTTTTCTTAAAATAAAATTTTAACTAATCTGTACAAGTGTCTATACATATCCGTTAGCTAGACCTATCAAGAAATTATTTAATCTAAAGTCACAGATTTCAGCATATCCGTTAATTCTTAGGTCAAAAACAAAAGTAGAATGCTGAGAACGCAATGATTCTCTATGAGAAGATCAAAATTTCTTTATTAGATTTTGAGACAAATAATTGACAATTTAATCTGCAAAATACCAGATATATAATTAGCTCTTAAATAAATTACTTTTTCTGTTTTCCCATAAACGAAGGGCAGCTCCTTCTCTATAGACCATGATTTTCTGTTGATGTTCTATGTCAGGTTGATGGATCGATCTTTGCTGTTCTGAGGTAGCTGGTATATACTTATTAATTAGATAATAAGATTAGTAGTAAGCAACGACAAGAAGTGAAACCAATCTTTTTTTGCTTTTGGAAAAAGAATGAATTACATTGGCTAGCTAGCTAGATTGACAAGTAGAGCATATATACAGTGGAAACAAAGAACAATTGTAGCAGATATGATCTGTTACTAGGTATTATATTAACAAGTCCGAGCAGGAGCATCGTGACAGGATAATTGGAGACAATAAAACATGACAGTAGCTCACATCACACTGCACAGGGTCGAGGGAAGAGTTACTTCCACCCTGTAAAGAAAGCCCAGACCCAGACCAAAAGACTGAACTTAAGTTTCGCTGATAGTTTGAGCAAACCAAAAGAAAATAATATGAAAATTTTCAAGTGAGAAATTGAGAACTCACACGTGCGGGAAGAGTGGAGGATGGCACGTGAGAGCTACTGGAGGAGTTAGTGAAAGAGAGGAGTTTGATGGTGGACGATGATCTCCTCTGTCTAGCCATCCTTTTCTTCCTGTTAACACCAAAGCTTGGAACAGCAGCGACAAGGTCACGGGTCAACCCGGATCGACCCGAGGCTTGATGGGTCTTGTCCCCTCCTACAGTGACACCCTCTACACCTGCCACCAAAGCAAACGCCTCGGGTTTCTCATGAACACTAGGCGTAGCCGCAGCCATCATTAGGGTTTTTTGGGCCTTAGCTCAATTGGCTGAACACCCAAAATATAACTCAAAAAGAAAAAACAACAAAACCCAAAAGGGTAAGGGAAAAAAAAGCTTTAGATTTCTGTGTGAGAGACTGCTTCTCTCTGGCTGTGCAGATCGAAACTACCCGGTGATGGACGCTCGGCAATCACGAAATGGAGGGTTTTGGGTTAAAGAGAAAGGTAGCCCTTTACTTTTGCTATTTTTAGCAAGGTTTTGGTGAATACATTGCCTGGTTCTTGTGACATTTGTTCATCTCACATTCATGCTTTGCTTTTAGATCATTTGTTCTCATTCTAAATAAAAAAAACATGCTCACTCTGATGACTCCACTGGGTAAACTTCGATGGGTTAAAGCTGGGTTTGAAGTTGATAACAATCTTGAGAAAAACAAAGCAGGGTTAGGGTTCTGCTGACAAATGTGCAATGTGGATTCATGGGCGCTTCCTTTTGTGTGTAATTTTGTGTTGGTAGGGAAAGAACCCAAGACGAGGGAAAGTAACCAGAGTTGAGGTTAAGAGTTAATGTTGAGAAATGGGAAGTGTTGGGTGGAGGATAGGGGTGGTTAGGCCACAGCCAAGAAATGGCTGACGAGTGGAAGGTGGAGAGCTTCCAAGTGTTACAAAAGTTCTGCATCTTTTTGCAACAGAAATCAATGGCGTTTGGGCTTTTTGAAAGTGAGAAAACTACCCCCACCTCTCTGAGCTAATCATCTCTTCCTTTCTCTAAGAGTGGTATCTTCTTTTTTCGAATTTGAAACTGGCCGGGAAAGTAACACCAAGCCGCTCTGTCTGAGCTTCTTCTCCTCGTCTTGGCCAAAGCTTTACGTAGCGAGGTTGGGGGTTTGACATGTTTGAGAAATCAGAGGTGCGGATTTGATCATGATGGCGAAGCAAGCGGAATTAAGAATCGTCTAATGGTTTTTCTTTTGTCAACAAGAGCTGAGCTTGTATTGCCACGTGCCCGCCATGCAAATGAGCTTGTTGGATCAATAAATGAGAAGATCAAGCAGTAAATGCAAGCATTATTATAGATGCAAAGGCCAAATTTCCTTTGGCTTTACGATATTCTTTTCCATTGGTGGTGGTTCTTAACACTGCAGATTTCAGTAACGTCCCCCTCCACCCTCCAACAAATTATCAACTACTATGTATGTATACTCATCAAGTGCAAGAGTGACTGCTATTATATGCAAATCCAAATAATCGATTGAATTCAATTAATTCCATTTGGTTTTTTATTTTGATATTAATCAATTTGATCTTTTTTTTAATTTCCATATCAATCGGATACGAGAGGGGGTTTATTTGACTATTTTGATATATTTTTTACATTTAAAATTTATAACTTAACCATAAAAAATTCAATCATTAATTATATTATGTCTATTAACATCTTTAAAATGTATATGATTAAACTAAAATCATTTACACTTTATTAGTGACACATTAAGCAAAATTTTAATGTTTTAAGAGTTTTTTTTTTAAATGGGTTCCATGCATAAAGCGTTTTTGAGAATAAGCCTCTCCATAATTTTAATTGTTTTTAGCCAAGAGAATTAAAATTTGGACAAAATTATTGTTAATGAAACCGAATCATTTGTTTGGCTCCCGCCTCAATCGAAAACCTATTAACAAGTATGTTTATAAGGTCCATAACTCCTTAGTTCTCATCGATAGACCGTACAATTTCTTAAAAGTAATTCTGTTGAAAGCATTCCTCGCTAGTTCAACTTTCGAGCATTTTCGCAGTGGTAGAATCATTTTGGAGTGGTTATTATTCGCATAAAGGTAGTTCACATATTAAGTAGTGAGAGGAAGTTCACATTACGCGAAAAAAAGTATAATATATATTTATTTTATTTTGAACCATGTGAAAAAATGGTTATTCTTCATGTTTTTCTTTTTTTGGTTTTTGAGCATAAACTTATACATATTGCTTGTTCATATTGATATTCTTGTTGTTTGAAATTGTTGAATATAAACATGAAGGTGGTATTGTTGAGGTTGTTGGGGTCGAAAGGTGATCGGGTACGCGTGATTGGTTGATATGTATGCGTTATGACAGTTTGATAGGAATTTGGTTGAAGGTTTAGATATTGCGTGACTGAGGGCTTACTTACATGGTTGGCACCTTATGCATGATTGGATTTTGGCATGCGGTCACTTAGGGTGTGTGTCATTGCATAAGGGTTTAACATTGCGTGACTGGTTGATATGTGATTACGTGCCATATTGATAGGTCATTGTGTGACAGCATGAGGGATTTTGGCATGGGGTTAGGGTGTGTGTGATTATATTAGAGTTTAACATTGCGTGACTTGTTAATAAATCATTATGTGACAGCATGACTGGATTTAAGCATGGCGTCACTTAAAGTCTGCGTGATTGTATTAGGGTTTAACATTGCCTAACTGGTTGACAAGTCTTTGTGTGACTGGTTGATAGGTTATTGAGTGAATATCATTCAGGCATGGCGTCACCTAGTGTGTGCATCATTCGATTAGTTGTTCTTTGCATTGCTTGACTTGTTTATAGATCATTGCATGATTTAATGTTAATAATTGTGCGACTTATTGATAAGGCATTGTGTGACTTTTTTTGTATGAAATTGCACGATTGTCATAACTGCATGAAATTTATTTGTATGGAATTGCATGACCGACATTCCGTTCATTATGTGTTATTTTGGGTCAACTGTAATGCTTTAAGATGTATATGTTGATCTACTTCATAATCCATGGTTGACACTTGCATTAATTATTCTGTTTCAAGGCTGTCTAAAAATAGTTAAAATTATTGTAAGGGTTATTTTTGGAGTAAGCTTTTGAGGAAGGCTATTTCTTAGAAATTCCTCTTGTTTTTTTGTTAATTTACAATGATGGTATTAACATGACCAAAATGGGACTGTTATCTGTTTCATGTTTCAGATGACCAGTTCAGGAGCAAAGCAAGATAATGTGGAATCTTTGCTTTGTGTGTTAAGGCATCGGTAAGGGTTTAACGCTGGCATTAACATCCACTGTAAGTGGTCACATCTGCATGTGGCACGTAAGATGCTGTATAGAGTCAATGAGTTGGAAACCTTGAAGAGAACATACTTTAGGCATATGATAGACGTCGAATCAGAGAAGAGTTTATTTTGTGCCAGTCTCATGTATAACCTAATGTTGCGTAGAATCAATGAACCTGACACTATCAAGGGTGAGTTATGATTTGCCATAGGTAAAATGAAGCCCTAATTTTTTAAGAGAGAGTTCACCTAGTGACAAGACTGAAGTTTGGTGCCCTACTAGCTCTTATTGTCAATCCCTATAAAGTCGTCCCTAGAGGAATTCACCAACGATATTGGGGATCAAGGAACGAGATGAAGATACAACAAGTTTTACAGATGTTCAAGGGAGGGTAGTTTCAGCAGGTGGGAGTTGCGATCGAGATGGCCTTCGTCTTGATCGTGAGCAATGTTTTATTCAGTCAAGACTATAGACGATCAGTGATTCCATGGTTGTTGTTGCTGGTTGAGAACATCAACGACTGGAATGCATTCCCATGGGGCACATATGTTTGGAGTCTGATCGTCGATTACTTGATGATGGGTTTCAAACCTCTAACGGTGGGAGTAACAGAGAAGAAATGTTATCAACTCTACAGATTTATATGGGCATTTCAGATAGTGTGCCATACCTTAATGTTTATCATTATTCTTTTCGTATTAGATTTTATAAAATGAGTAAAAAATGTTTCATAGTTGATGTGCAGTTTTGGGCATTGGAAGTAATTCATGAAATCTAAAGCTTGTTTGGAAGGCAGTGCTAGCCTGGACAAGTTTGCCTAAGAATGCTGAAATGGCAGTGTGACGAGAGGCCTATAGGCTTCCACGTCAATATTGCAGGTTTGTAGAGAGAAGGCAAAATGAGTAAAGAAACCATATTTTTTTTATTTTGTTAAATTTTTTTTATTGTTATAGGGTAGCAAGGGTTAAACCTAATGGCAATGTATGTTTTGGCATAGTTGTGTGCAATCAGGATATAGGAGCCAACTGCGTAAGAGATATTGACTGCATATTGGGCCGACATTGAAGTCAATATCTGTAAGGGGCAGCAATACGTTCCATTATGGAAGTTGGAGGGTCGGTCAGAATTCGATCCTCAGCAAAAGAGGAAGATAATGGATCATAAATAGAAAAGTATGGTGAGACGAGGTGTTAAGCGGATATGTACCACGGACGAGGAGGTTCATTCCGAGTTCACTACTGGTGAGGCCCCAAGTGTTGCTGAGGTGCCTGATTCTGCTCTTGTTACTCTTCATGTTGCTTATCCTGCTGTTCCTGCTGCTTTTCATGTTGCTTCTCCTGCTGCCCATCATGTTGCTACTTTTGCTTCAATTGCCATGACTCCTAACGCTGCTCCTTCTTTTACTTCTGCTGCTACCCTTCATGCTCAAGCACGCAACCTGCTGCTGCATCCTCAAATGACTACAAGCATTAAGTGAAAGATGCAATAGATGCAGACATAGTGGAAGAAGGACCTACAGTCATTATAGACAGAGATGCAGATGTAGTCATTGTAGACGGAGGTTGACTGAGACTTGTAGATGCATATGCATGCAATGTAGTTAAAGATCCAGTGGGTAATACAATCGGAGATCCAGCGGCCAATTTAGATGTAGATGTAGTCATTGCATCTACATATCCAACAGTCACTGTAAGGGTTGAAGGATAGGATTATCCGTCCGTCGATCGACCGTTATGAGGTAAGAGCTTTTATCTTTTTCATTGCATGAGTTATAACATGTACAATGTATACATTGATCTAATGTGTTTGATTTTTTCAACTGTTTAGAGTTGATCAATGGGTAAAAAGGATGGTGCGCACGATAAAGAGGGCACCGATACTAAGGTTGATTTTGATGATGTAGGTGACATAAATCAGTCAATTGCATCGGCCCTAGTCTCACCTCATTTTGCCTCAATCGAAG